AGTTATACAAAATACAAATACAAACAGCGATAGCAGTAGGCCATGCAGCTGCTCAAGCAGTGAAACTCCGTTGGGTAGTCCATTTTTTACGAGGCCGATGAACAGAGCAATCAGAACAAGATTCATTGGTGTCGTAAGATTTTTCGCTCTCTAGAAGCAAAATTGATTACTCAATTTTACGTCTCCGGTCCTCGTTTTGGGTCAATCGCTGCTGTCGTTTATCTCCCGTATCTGCCCTTAAATCCTTCTATAGATCAAAACGTACTGTGCACAAATCGTCTTTCTCATGAAGGAGAAACACGATCTCTCCGAAAGCCTGACATTCTTGTGTTCTGTGGGTGATTCTCCTGTTTTATCCACTAGGGACTGTGATATGGAATCCTCATTTCAGCATCTGCGAATTACAAGGCAGTGCGTCACTCTTAAACGAAACGAAACTTAGCTTAAACACGCTACGAATGATGGCTGTCGATTCGCTTGAAAAACGTTTTGCCTATGGCATCGACTGCACAGCACTGTATGAACGCTATGCTCTCAATCTTCCCAGTTCACACGCCCCAAAGATACGGCTAAAAACAGAGCCTCTTTATCCACCGGCCATTATGTGATGGCTTAATCAGGTTAGAGAGAAGATAGAGGCATTTGGTTGCAGAAATTGAATGTGAAAAAATATGGCAATGACAAAACGTGCGTATCATCTGGGAAGAAAGGATGAGACTGAACGGATCCGTGATATGGAAAACCAGAATGTGGTTGAGAGGAAGGTGAGGAATGGCGGTTGCGACAAATGTTGGAGTACGACAAGAGATCATAACAGTACAAAGGCCTGTGTATTTATTGCACCATAAAAAAACGCTGAGTACATAGCGTCGGTCAATCTACCACCGTCAGGCAGCTTCCACAATCGGGTACTGCTACTTCTGTTGTTGTTGCGGTACACTTCACTACTTCCGCTGGTGACGCAGCGCTCTTTAACTGTTCACGCCGGCCTTTGCTTCGGTAGCAAAGAGAATTGGAGTAGATGGAAATCGCCTTGAATTTCGCGTTCAACACATTTACTTCGACCTCCAAAGATAGCTTGGACGGAGTTGACCAAAACGTTGTACTATTGATACATTGACTCAACAGAGGCAATTGAGCCATATTGCTATTCCGTGGCAAGAACAGAAGCACGTTGCCACCAGTTAGTTGGCTGGCAAGTTGAACAGAGAACCAGAACGTGCATCCGACCGCCGCATTGTGCGGTCCAAACTGGATCCAGTCTAAATCGAAAACATCCTCGTCCAGGTAGGCCGGACCACCCCACGGTGGGGACATGAACAACGCAGCGTAAGGTGGTGACGTATGTGAATTCCGACTCTGGCATCGTCCCAGTTCTGCCCGGGCCCAGTCGAAAAAGTCTGCACAAACGAACTCGATTTGCGATCGGACTCCGTAGACCTCGGCATTGTGCATAGCCATTGCTACCCGTGTTGGATCCACTTCGATAGCGATCACTGTGAAAAGGGAGAAATAACAAAATACCAGTCTACAGTTCGACGAAAAAGTGTGATGTATACCCTAATTTGGAAATAACCTGGGGGGGGGATGTGGAGTGTATATGTGATCATCGTATAAACAACGCGCTTCGCACACTGGACACACTTTGTTTCGCAAATCTACAGCTGATCAGATGTCAAGATTTGTTTGTGGGAGTCATTAGTTCAATACTTGAGTATCAGAAAACATCCATAAATAATGTGCGAGCAAAAGCAAAAAAATGAGAGAAAGGAGGCAGCAGAAATTGGAAAATGTTCGCGCGATCAAACCATGATAAGCGTGATCAATCGCACCGATGGCGTGTACACTTAACTTCAACCAAATGGACCCACTATTGACAATTCACAGCAGATCAATAAATAGAAATGCTGTTCTCACCGTTCATTACATTGCAGCTCAACAGTCTAACGTAGAATGATGCAACTTACTTAAACCAATCACAGCGCATGGATAACCCCGTGCGACTTGAAGCGAATACCGCTTTAAACGTAACCGTTTTGCTTAACTTCACGGAGAATTAGAAAAACTCCTCATTCATAATTGGATGATAGTCATATTGGTAGGATTCCGGAGTCAGTCCCCCCGGCCCCCGTACCCCTTGCATATCTTTTCAACCATATCCGCTTATTTACTTCCATCTGCCCCCCCCCACCAAGAAAAAAAAACTTACCAATTAGATACCATGGTATACTAGCGAATGAAGTCATTTCACCTGCTCGTTAGTGTCGCTTCCAGTACTAATCTCGCTCTCAACTATGACAGTGTGTATGCATCAAGTCATTGTTTATGCTCATCGTTCATAGACTAGAGGCGGAATACAAAGGAAAAAGCTGCAGGAGTGGTCAGATTAGTATAGCATTGGTGGTTCTTTCAATATTATGACCTAGCGAGTAGACCGTAAACACCATAAGAAGCACTTTGTTATCACAGACAACATCAACTGGAAACTGAGGTAATTGGTCAATGTGAATTCCCATGAAAATAAAATTTACTTCATCAACCGTGATCGTTGTGTAACTAACAATGAACTTTCGCCAGAAAATATACGACAAAATGCTAGCAATGGTCATAATTCCAAACAAAATCATATTGTTTGCCGATGCCTCTTGAATGCGAGTTGGGGGGGCTTAAAGTGAGCGCGTTTTATTCTCTTAGTCACTTATTCACTGTTACCTCCGTTTGCCCCAGGGATAACTACGTTTTATCGTTGGGCAAGTGACTAGAGAAGCTGTCACTGAAGAGATTCAAGCTGCGACCATGCTAGGGTTACCTAACATCGCCACTAGACTGTTTTGCAGTCCCTCTGTTTACTGGCATGCCTATAAGAGTAGGGTAGTTCGTCACCGCAAGTTCCAGGAATTACGTGCCCGGTTGTTGTGAGTGTACTGTAGGTTCAGATGACAGGTGAACTTCTGCTGGTAGATTCAAGGTCTCACGACCAGCGAAGTGAACTCATTACGGCTTCACCGTCAACTGGGTCGAAGGCTCCATAAAAGCCAAGTGTACGGTGCAACTCGAGAACTTGACGCAATGGGAAGATTTGTTTGATATAACGACCTCGTCAGAATCCTACTTGGTGTTCGCGGGTATTAGTTTCCCTGAGGATGACAGAAGTTGAAAAATGACGGAGACCATTGGGATCCAACATATGCCTAAGTGGTACACGTAGTCATCGCGGACACTGCAATCTTGTTCATCAAACAATATGCAATAAAAGATCCGGATTACGAGATAAATCGCTTTTTAAGAAAATGTCGCACTCACCTCGAAAACCGACAGAAGCGAACTGTATGGAATTGGCTCCAGTGCCTGAACAGGCATCAACCACTGTAAGAGACTCCACCGGAATGCCTTGGTTCACAAGCGCTTGTTTCACACGAAGAGCCTGGTGATAAGCAATAGCCTCGGGAGTGGCACTGAAAAATCCATCTGTCAAGAAACACCATTGAGCAGATATAAACGCGGTATTAGTTGGGGGAGGAATAGATCTGACTTTCGCGAATGCATCCCGAAGGGTTAGTGTCTGAGGTGAGAAAGATTTCATTAACTCCCGGATGATCCGTAGTTCTGTAGGGTTGGCGAATTCATTCGCCTGAACGCATTCTTTTGTACCCCTTACTGTCTGGCGTTTCCTAACCGATGAGGGTTCCATGGAAGACGTAGCCCAACTTAAATAAGAGGTAAAATATTGGTACAAGAATGAGTTGGTCCAGCACTCAGCCTCACTTTAACTGAGGAAGCAATAGAGCAAGTGGACAAGTTTTGTTATTTGGGCAGCTATATCTCACCCGGTGGACGCATCACGGATGAAGTGTCAATTCGCATACAGAAGGATCATTTGGCATTGGCCAACTTCGGACATCCGTAGCGCCTTGGCGACATCCGGCGGTCCAAGAAGGGTCGAGTTTATGCTGCGGCACTTTGACCACTTTCTGCTAAATGGCGCAGAAAACGAAAACAGGATAAAGATAGGCTGTCGGTTTTCGTACGCAGGTGTCTACGCAGCATTGTCCGAGTCTGGTGGGGCAACCTGACAACCAATGCTGAGATTAGACGGAGAGCTTTAGGTAGCCGCGGGCGCTGACTGAAACAAGTGGTCAACCTTTATAGATAACGTTTGTTGGGACCGGTGTTGCGGATGTCAACAAATAGGTTGCCACTGTGCGCGATATTTGATGAGGCAGTTAGTAGGTGGAAAAAGCCAAGAGTGACCAGAATAAGACCTTGCATGAGGATATGAAAACCCTAACCAAGAGACCCGGTCACATCGGTTCCGTAAGGCTCCCTGGATGTGGACTTCGGGACGATTGTAATCAATGGTTAGACACTAGGTAATATCGCTGAGTGTCATAAACAGTGGCATTTGTGCATCTTTTCGATTTCTTCTAAACTTTAGTCTACTGAAATTCTCCATTTTCTCTCCGACAATACTTTCAACTTCCCTGTCTGCCTCCTACTGCTTCATTCAACTGGGTATTCAAAAGACAGTAACCAAAACCGGCGCACGAATGTGCGAAAGTTAACTGTTATACAAGCTAAAAGTGAATTTGCTTGCTCGGCCCTCTTAACTGCATTATAAAATATTTAGAAATAGAACATTGAAGACAAATCAAAAGGAAAAAGGTTTACCCTGAATTACGGATTCTTCAAGAGTGCCTTATATTCAGCAGTCTGAGATACCTGAAAAATGTCACTTCTAGTTGTAAAACGTTCTACCAGCATACATCGGGATTGGCCTCACACGGCTCTGACGGATCCGATTGACCCTGGACTTTACGACACATCCTGCAGCATGTCTTAGTCACGCAACCAAAAAACGGCTCCTGCCAAAAATTTAATTTTTCACTTCATAGTATTCCGATACATCCGCTGGTAAGATCATAGGTACTGAAGCGCTAGATGATGGACGCAGAAATAGACTACGTCTTGCTCCATCCAAATGCTATACAATTCTGCAAAATCCGGTAGGAATCTGTGCTTGTAACAACTACTACCGTTGATCAGATAGTTGAAGTCCGAAGTTCGAACTGCTTCGCTCTACGGCTGTGGGATCGGGACGAACCACGATGGGGATGTTTCACAGCTTTTGATATTCGGTAACGGTTTCCGAAGCGTTTCTCGTGTCATATGCCTTTTAAAAACAGCAGAATGAATTGCTGAACTTGTTCTTTTTACTACAGACCATCATCTGAGTAACAGTAGAAGTAACATGGGTAAGGAAGGCTCCATAACCAAGACCTATTTTCAATCGGGATAACTGGCGCCTAGCGCCTTCGGGACTTGGAGTGGCGAACCATATGAGGCCGTAATAGGAGAAAGATTTTTAATACGTGAACTTCGTGACCTACACTTCAGAACTGTAATATTCGACAGCATGAGAGGAAGAAAAGTAAACAAGCGAACCAGGAAGCCGGCGATGTCCGTCAAACCAAACATACAATGTACCTTTCGTCCGCATTCAGTCCACCAGTTTAAAAAAATGTAGGATTATTTTTTTTTGTTCCAGATATTAGCATGGACGAGTGAGCCTCAGTACGGTCGGGGGTGGATGTCCTCGGCTGTGAATGGCTGCCGTTCTTTTGCACCTCACGACTAAGTGTCCCAAATAACCGATGATGAGGAAGCCCTAATCATTGTCCTCACGTGATCGAGGTTTTTCCTAACCGAAGTGAAATGAAAGGTCAATATTTCGGTCTACAACCACGTCGGTGAAGCACGAGCAGTCTCCCTCTCTCCTCAACATAAGGACTATCGTATCGTGACGTTCTCCGCAGTCTCGATTTAGATGCGTATGATCCACGCACACCCCTTCGCAGTTACGAGCACCGGCTCGATTGGGCATCAAAGTGAATTACGAACTTTGAACGCTTGACCCCGCCCAATGGCTGCGTGATTCGATGAACTGGGCACCGGACCTCAATGACTTGCGGTTGTCACACATCGTGCCGCTGCCTTGCGGGTCAGGCCTTGATTAACCAAATGCTCTGGTTGTGAACTCCCTAAGAAAATTCAACTGCCTTGGCCTGGGCAACCTGGCAGTATTCCGCCCACATGCAAATCATGGAACGGCCTTCTTTTTCATAAAGGTCATTGCACTATTACTTGTTTGGCACACAGTCTGGATTCAGACGTGTGTGAAAATAGACATAAAAAATAAAGGACTGGGCATGGAAACCTACTTCCGATTCGACGAGAAAGTGTACCAGCAAATACGAGAAGCTCCTATGGGTTCGCCACTCTCGGGCCTGTTTGAGGATGCGGTTATGAAACACTTCGAAACCTAAGCTTTGAAATTCTACAACCTCGTACGTGGGGGACACACTCGTTATACTCAGAGCCTCCACGGTAGATCAGTTCCAAAAAATGATCAACAAGCATGTCCCTGAGGAAGAGAAAAATGGACAAATCTCCGTCCTAGATATCCTTTTCATAAGACAACTTGACGGAAGAATAGAAACCGCGGTCTACCAAAAACCGATCACCACAGATAGCATTCTCAATTACAACAGCAACCATCATTTGTGCCACATGAAAAGTTGTGCGCAAACTCTATTCCGCCGAGCGAACACACATTACAGCACACCGGAGCTGAGAGCAAGAGAAAGAAGTCGACTCTTTCGACTGTTCCTAAAGAACGTGTATCGCAGGAGCATTATCTACAAGTGCACCAGGGGTAAAAAACAGACAGACAAAAGAGGGTATCAGAATTAGTTAGAATTAGTTATCCCATGTGCGCGGCACGTCAGAGGCCATCGAACGTGTACTCCGACAGCTGGGAAGCAAGATACTCCATAAACCGGGAGCAACTGTGAGATCATTTCTCTTCAACGGTAAGGATCGAGTCGAACAGCAGGAACGATCAGGTATAATCTAAGCAGCCCCGTGCCCGGGCTGCAATCAACACTACATAAGCGTGAGACAGGCAAAGAACTAAGCACTCGCGTGCACGAGCACAAACTCGCCCTCCGACGCAGTGACCTGAGGTCACGAATCTGCACCACTGTGCACGGGCAGGTCACGATATGGCGATCTATAACGCAAAGGTGGTGGAGCGGGTTAAGAAGAAGGGAGCATGATTGATCCTCAAAGCTCTAAACTCAGTAAATTCGTTCAACCGGTATGTCGAGATAGACAAACATTACGACGCACTCGCAAGACCAGTGACGGTTGGTGAACTAAAAGACGCACAAACAGCACACAGGCGCACGGAAAGACGGTAATCTTATCATCTCAATTATTCCTTTTACGTTTGAAGAGGTCTAGTTTGAATCTAAACGTTACCATTAACAATTCACAACTCTGTGTACGACTCCACTTTCTCTTGAAGTATACATATACAACTTATTATAGTAGACACATAAATATATATGCCTCCGAATGCCTCAGTGTGGTCAGGGATGAGTGCCTGGGATTGTGACTGGCCACCATTCCCTTTCACCTCGCGAAATGCTCCTATATGACCAAGCGTCTCAAATAGCCTCTGCTGAAGAAGCCCTACTAACTGCCTTCCCGTGGCGGAGGTGTTTTCCCACCAAAGTGAGAGGACGAAAACCCGACATGCTATAACCGGGTTGGTGAACCATTGGCAGTTCACCTAAGGG